CAGTTGCCTCATCTTCATACACTCCAAGTCCTAGAAGAAGCACCTTAATTATGTTGACACCAGGAATCAAAGCTGCTAAAACAGCTCCACGGCTACCAGAACTGTCACAATCACCAGAACTCAATTGCCAATGCCATTTTGAAACAAATTAGAGTATCTCTTCTTTATTTACAGAATTTTAAGTTACCTGAACATTGGCCAGCAAAGCATGAAAACAAGTCCAATGCTAACATGCACAAGCTTCCTATTTAGTTTCTAGAAAGAGAAATTTGCAGAATAAGAATTAACAAAAGTTGAGATCACTAGAGAGATGTTCAAGTAACTTGTACTTACAGATACTGTATATCTCTGTCCAGGCTGAATCTAGAAAAGCTACTGCTTCTATACAGGTATATATTACAGAATATGCAATGGGCACGTGATAGAGCTCTTCCTGATTCAGAAGAGATGGATTGTCTATAATTTCAATATGTTCATGACATTGTCATACTGAGCACGTATCACATTAATATTAGTTTTTACCCAGATACAAGTCCTTCATGACATCAAAATTAAGTTGATGCATAAAGTGAATCCCATGTTGTTTGCACTTAGTTGTAAACAACGCATTCACGTAATTATAACTGCTAAGCTTCAATTGAATTTCGACCTAGTCTTGAAACTAGCCTAAGTTGTATCAAGTCCCCCTTGCGTTTTTAAGGCCATGATCATAACATTTGCTCGCATTAATTACACAGGCATTGCAACGATACAGATTTACCTAGATATAAATCAATCGTCACACCACAAATAAGTTAATGCACAAAATGAATCATGGCTCGTGAAGGATCCCCACGCTGCCATGCTGGACAACGAGCCAGGTGCCAATCTAGAATTACAAACCAACTTCAAGAAGACACTTTAATTCACGACACTGGTTTATCATTTAAAATGGTTAGGCAAATCAAACTCGAGGTATTCAATCTAAATTACAATAGAGTTACTAATTAAATTTTTCCAAAGCCTCTTCCAAAGAAACGCTATCGAAAAATCCAAGCAATAGAGCAAGCATTTCTATTTTATTCTCAGGTTTCCTTGAAATCAATCTCCTGATAAAGAATTAAAGTTTAAATTCAAGTGCAGTCTGTCAAAAACAAATGCTTTCTATCATTTAAGAATTGAATTGGGCCTAACATACTTTTCTCAGGGTTAAAGCCCGAAAACTAAAAGTAGTAGTATTGTAGTAAGCTCCAAACATTCTTACCTTTTCCCCAAAAAAAAAAAAAGAAAAAGAAAAAGAATGATAACTTTGTAGTTACGCATAATGCAATACAGCAGCAGTGATACAGTAGCAAAGAGAGAGATATGCTGGGTCAACAGCATTTCAAGAAAGAAACAAAAGTCATTGACCCACCTGATCAAGAACCCCCATCTTGGCAATCTCTCCCCAGAACCGGAGCATGGAGAGAGCGATCCCGCCGGTCAACGCGGCGGCAACGACATCTCCGACAACTGGGTTCTCCGAAAACATCGGCAAAGCTGCTGCCCTGGCTGACCTGAACCTGGGGGAAATTCTCCGATAGGGGAACCCAAACCTGAATTTAGTAAGAGTATTACAGACCGCAATCGCAGGGGAGGAAGAAGAAGAAACCGGACAAACTCTAGTCGCACGAAGAATGTTAGCTGAAAAAGAGCGTCGAAGTTGCTGGGTCGTAGATCTGTTGGGGAGTTAGGGTTCACTCGATTGAAGGAGAGGTAAATTACTGCTGTAATACTGGCGGCAGCAGCAGCCATCTACAGGTGGGGGAAAGCTTCTGCTGGCAGAGGTGCGAAGGCATTTTGATGATAGTCAAACATGGGTAAAATGTCTTCCCACGAGCGCACGTGGTAGTCACGATCACGAGTTCTCTTGTTGGAGTTCCACGTGAAAAACGAAAAGTCAAGTCCGGTTGATATCTTCTGTTTTGGAAATGTTTTGTATGCTTTCGGATTGGGTGAGGCCAAATTGCCAGTAACAAATCACATGTACGTTGAGATTGAAATAATAGAATGGAACATGCATGCATTAAGCAAGCAGCTCGATGTTTTTGTAAATATAGAATACTTCTGGTGTGGATGTCGTCAATCACAAAAGGAGAGGGAAAAAAAAAACATCGACAGAAATACCAAACGTAATTTGGTTTAGTTGTTATAGTTAATTCAATCTTTATGCATGAATCGTATTGTGGTATAATTATTAATTAGGGTTGCTTAAAATCCTGGAGTGTTTGGATACCAAACTTATCCCAAATAATATTTCGCTTGCATCACAAACACATTTTCCAACCCATCTTTTTATATTTCCAACCACTTTTTTATCTCACATACATCATATCACAAAAAGTACTACGGTAATTATTCCAAGTAATATTTCAAATAATAACCTATCCAAACAAACCCACAGTTCGCGAGCATAATTTTGACTAAGATACTTGAAAGAAGCACTAGCAATTACAATTACAGAGTGTGTTTAAATATGAGATCATTTGGGGGAAAAAATCATTTCAAATAATACTACTATAACGCTTTGTGTAATTTGATATATATATGATTTTTAAAAAAAAATTATTAAAAATTACGTTTGTGATGCAATCAGAATAATATTTGCAATTTTTTTTCCTTCAAAGTAGACTATCCGAACGGATTTTACTTTAAGGCTTGATTTTGTGCCACATATGGATCCGTGTAAAAGACATATTTGAAAAAGCTCACGGAATACGTGTGTACCTAACGTCTATAGTGGTGAGGTCGCATTAACAAGTTCTCCAAGGTGCCTTCTTGTTGACAGCGTGCAAAAGAAAAATGAGGGAGTCAGTTTATATAGTAACTTCATTTTTTTAAATTAGACATATTTGTATTTAGTTTGATAATTAGTTGTATTATATAAATTAAAAGTATTTTTCACCAATTTAGAGGAGTAGTACATGTTAGTCCGCTTTTATATATTCGATACCTTAAAAAATTAAAAAAATCAGCAGCCTAGTGACGACGCGAATAGGCTTTATAGTTGGTCCTATTATATTAAGTCATTATCCGAGACAAGATTTCACCACTTAACTTTTATATATTTCTATTCCTATTTTTCAGAGTTAATGAGAGCTGTTGTTTGAAGATATAATTGAATTATGCATATTTATAAAAATCAAATGAAAAAGACATAAACTTAAACTTTTCTTAGTGTTGGAAAAATTGGCTGTTAATGGGTCAGACCAACTTGAAATTGATCCGTCCAACCCCAAAAAGGCTACCTGAACCTAAGTTTTAATTGAGCCAAGTAGAGTTTGGTCCAAAATATTAGACTCGAACTAAATTCGAGTCTAATTTGGGCCACATTAGGCTCAAATCCAATTAAAATTCGGTCCATATATGAGTAAAATTGTACATACATGCATGCATATACATCCACAATTTATAATTATATGTATATATTATGATATAAAATGTTAATGATTTATATATAAATTTATAGTAATTTATAATTATAATATATATTTTATATAATTGTGTATTTAATTACGAGTTTGGGTCAAATCCGATCTGAATGGAAACTTATATAATAGTGTGAATTGAGTTTGAACTTTTTAATTTGAGATCGAAGCCCAAAAGTTTAAAACCGAAAGCTTGTATCATTCGTGAGTCGAGCCTGAACTTGTCAAAACCCAATTCACAAAATCCAATTGACGCCCTTAATATTTAGGAAAGCTTGTGCAGTTTGAAATTTATAGACCAATGCTCTTAGCTTCTCGTCAGGTAGAGAAAATTGAAAATTTCTTTTCCTAGTTGCAAGCACGTGGGATTGGGATCCTCAGTGTGTTTTTTCGTTTGCAATTCAGTAAAACTTCTATATTTATGTTAAATATTCTATTTATTTAACTTGTCACATGTTGTTTATTTAAATTTCTTCTTCCATTACGTGATAAAGTGGGATTGACACTAAATTTAGCACCGAGTAGTTGCATAGAGGATCCCAACAGAGTTGCAAGGTGCTGGTTTCTCGTATCTTTTTTGTCTTTTCGAATGGTAGTTCATAGTTTTTTTTTTTTTTTTTTGAGGGTAAGGGTAGTACATAGTTCAAAGCTTCTAGGACTTCTAACGCAGTACGTGTTATAAGTTGCACAATGGTCCGTTTCCTTATTCTCAACTGAAGCTAGTCCAATACAGAACATCGGAACATCCAAGTTTCTTTTGCAGCTAAATTGTAACACAAACACCCAAAAAAAAAAAAAAAAAGTCAAATGCTGCCCCAGTATCCACAACATGTACATTGTAGGTAGGTGGTTGGGGCACACTATCACACAAGATACCCTTCCAAAACGGGGATTAATCTGGAGATTATATCGCAGTTTCCTCGTCAGAATTATACATTTAACATCAATAGACAGCCAAATATTGTGTTTAATGTGATAACAATTTTCTGTTTATTCATTAATAGGCACTTTCTTAAAGATAAGTGCCAGGGTTTCCACCTCATTAATCTTTTCAGACATCAGCAGCTGCATAAGATTATCCCAAGGAATTGAAGAAATCCACAAGGTATTAACTCAACAACTGCCAAGGCAATAAGGTCAATAATCAATGCGGGCAATCTCTTTTCAAATTGTAAACCTTATTACGGTAAGGAAATAACTAATTTCCAAAATCATGATACAGTAATCAATTTTGGGGAAGAGCCGTAAGCAGTAAATATGGTAGGTAGATTTTCTTTATGTTTTTTTTTGTATTTATAGGCCAGGTGGGCTTCTTTCTAACATCCCCACAAAATGCAATGAACACCTCACTCATTTCTAGTCGGTGCATGCTCTTGAACCCTATCATGTTTTCCTTTCCATCTTTCCTCTGAGAAATTTTTTTTTTTTTTTTTGGCTTCACTTGGTTTTGCAGGTACAAGCATTGATAACAATGGAGGATAAGGTATCAAGGAGTGCATCAAGACCCCCATATACCCTAAATTTAATTCCTCCACCCCCCTCCCCACCTTTACGATGATGTTCCCATCAACGTTAGCGGAGGCGTTCGAAAACTCTTCTCATGGAGCTGGGGCTGGGGCTGGCCAAAATGGCAAAAGTGTTGCTATTTCTCCTGAACATAGGGTTGACCTTAACGCACCGCCTTCCCCTCATGTCACCCTTGATGCTGAGGAGGAGGAAACGGACAAAAATCAGATAGAGAACACTCCTCCATCTACCAGTAAAAAATGTCAAATCAATCAGGATGATGAAGAAGAAGAATTTTCCCATAAGGCTAAGCGTATAATGACACTTGATGAAGCCATTCAATTTGAAAAAAATGATCGTGACCTGTCCCTCGAGGATGAAAGGAAGCTCAGAAGGTGATTAAAAACAAATCCATCTTACGGATTATATTTCCTCCCCTTGGTAGAAAAGCTTCGATTTCTAGAAATGAACTGAAAAACCCTTGTTTCCTCTCTTTCCCTTGTTATTAATATTATTATTTGCTGCTTCCAGGACTGTATCAAACAGGCTTTCCGCCCAGAGATCTCGACTGAAGAGGGCTCAGTACATTGATGAATTGCTTAAAAAGATTAAAGATTTACAGGTAGCTAACTAGGGTAAAGAACTAGCGAACAATCTCTAATTAGGTTTTCTATTTGTTCCTCGATATCTTCTAGACGGTCCGTTTTCTTCTTACACGTTTTTAACTCTTTTGAGATATATCGTTTTACTTTAAAAAAAAAAAAAAAACTCCTTCTGGATATTTCAATTCATATTATTGATACCAACAAACCAAAAAAACAGAAATAAGTCTTCTTTGTTTACTACCTTACCTCTTTTTTATTATGACCTTTTGTTTTTAATTTTGGTGAATCACAATTGCAGGATTATGTTGAATCCCTGACTTCCCAGTTGGAGAGCTGCATAGAGGGACAGAAAATGCTGAAGATGCAGAAAGCCATTCTGGAGCAACGATTGAAGAACTGCATCGACAAATCTGCTTTGTGCGACAGTACGAATCATGCATGCAACCACTGTCACTAATTAAGTAAAATGTATATTCTAATTATTTTTCCCTTTATTATCACTATTGTTTTGCTTGAATTTGAAGGGGAAATTGAGGAGAAACAGGCTGAAATAAGGAGGCTCAAATACTTATACGAGGCCCTGCAGAAAGAGGGGATGATGCTGAGTTCTGCTGCGCCCAGTGCAGCAAGCTCAACAAGCAGCCTCCCCATTTATCCACCTGAAAGTGAGAGTAATTATCAAAGGGTTCTCTCCTTCAATTCTGCAAGCTTCTTTCAGATTGAGCAGCGGGCCGCAGTTGTGGAAGTTGTAAGCTCAGATCAAGGGGGGATTGAACAGTATCTGAACTTGGATGCAATGAATGTTTCTTCCTTCAATGCAACAGATGCAATGTGACCATATCTACCATGAAGAATTTTTCTCGGCAGCTGTTTGGGTTTAATTTTCCATTATTTGTGTAAGGATATAGAGGCCGAATTTAGTTTCATTGTTTTAGTTTCCATTGTGATTATGTAGCTTTTAAGCTCTGCGAACAGAATGTGTGCATTTTGTGCATGTAGAGAACAGTGACTGAAGTATGATTTTCCGCATGTGAACCAAGAACTATTTTAAATCTTTTCACTTACTCTTATAAAAAAATAAGGGGAAAAAAAAACTTCTCACTTAACTATTAACTATCTATGTTTCAAAAAAAAAAAACTATAACTATCTCAAAAACAATTCTTTTGCATTCCCCAGTTGTGTAACAAAGATCTCTCGGTGTTGAATGAGCAGTGTCAATCAGATTCATTTTGCATCCAGCAGTCAATTTTACTACTCCTCGAGTTTCATGTGGATTTTGAGGTAGGGTTATTACTACGAAATAAGGGTTTGATGCAGTGACAAGTAGTCTTGTGCGGCCAAATTGCCGGTGCCTACCATCAATCTTGTAATATCATTTTAAGAGAAACAAGAAAATTTCTAACTTTTCATTTTTTTTCTTCAAATTTTTGTTCACTTTTTCTGTTGCTCTATCAAACTTGAAATATGTTTGAAACATTCCATTTGACATTCTAAAACCCAAAACTAGTTCATAGGCAAACTAATTTGCATCCTCTCCTATTTGATTGAGCCACAATGAATATACGCACAAATAGAAAACCTTTTCCCATTCAATTTAGCCAACGTCTTGCAATCTAATCAGGCTTCAAATTCTATGTCATGCGCCCAGGCTTCTATTTGCATTATCTTAAAGACAGTTTTCTAAGGCAAAATGGAACCTGACCTGTACTCGAGAGAAACAACAAAGTAAATTGAAAAACAAAAAAGAAGACCCCAGAATCCGCAGCATTAAGAGATCCGAAAAGAAAACTTTCCAAGGCAAAAGAAAATGTCGGGAAGTTCATCAACGAGTCCATTGGGTAAGATAACATTATACAGGCGGGACAAATATAACAGGCTAATTAAATTGCAACAATGTACTCCGTAATACACGCTCTGATGCCTGGAAATGACCAACTAAGCAAGAGGACAATGACAAGTTTGACATTTAGATTAATGTGCTAAGGTTTTAGATTCTACAGAACTGAAATGTCGTTTCCTCTGCAAAAGTTACTAGAGAAACTAAAATCAACATGTTAAACAAGAAAATCATGACCACAAACCCTTAAGGTATATGAATTCCTTTGAAGTCTGAATAAAAAAGATTGCACTGCAGCCCTTATATTGAGTTTTTCAAGATAGTCAAATCAAAATTCCAGAATGAAATGTCCGCATAAATCATGCTGTTGATTGAAACATGTTCTTATATTTAGCCTAGAACATAAATTGAGTAAAAGAGGAAGAATCTTTGCATCCCCCAAGCTCCGAATATTGGAAGACTATTGACCGAGCCCACATGACCTCATTTGTTTTAGAACACTAAAACGGATTTTTACTTCGTTCAAGACTAAAGAAAAGGACTTTTCTAGTGGAAAGAGAGAAGGGGAATTGACAAGGATGAGAATGGACAGTTTCAAAGTGATCAAAGACAAGGAAGATCAAAACAAAATACCAGACAAAAGCATAAATTTGATTTACCTTATAATCCTTGTCCTTACAAAACATGCTATCATCGGGGAATCCTCTTGTGCAAGTACCAACAAGATCTCACTAGAATTACATAAATTCATATAGTCAGATCTAGAGTACTTGCCAACATTGGATCTTAAACTTATGAGTATCTTCATTCAACCTGTTAAATGTGGAGCTCATGTTCAAATCGATGGAACATTTTTCTGCGTTCGAAGCAGAAAACAAAGAAAGAGACAAAGTGCTGTCCTTTTCTTCCTCATCCCAATTATGTGTTCTTTTGCTTTCCCCTTGTCTCAGGTTCATGCTCAAAGACAGATTGAGGTCAACGCCATTATCCGGAGCTTTTCTCTTTGCTGTGTTTGCCTTTTCAGTCTTTGTACCACTGCACTTTGTTTCTGGGCTTGCAGCATTGACGATGCTCTCAACTCTTTTTTCTTTATAAACTTGTGTCAACTCGGAATTGGTTTCTCCACGGGATGGCCAGATACCTTTGTGATTGATTTTGGTGTCGGGTAACCATGTAAAATCTTCCATATAATTGTAAGATTTCCTCCTTTCTTGTGTACCAAATAGAGAACCATTGATCGCGTTTGCACCAATACCCCCATAGATCCTTCCCAACGATGTATTGTGGAAGACAGTTCCTCTTTTGATATTTGTATCATCAACTGTACCAGGCATAGCTCTCCAAGTCATATTGCTGGTCCAATTGTCATCACTGTAGCTGTAGCTGTTGTACCATGTTAAAATGCAGTATAGGATTATATAGTACTAATTTTTTTGCATAAACATAAATAAATTTCATGATAAGCATTAATTACCTGAAGCTGGACCGAATCCCGCGATCAAGTGTAGCAAATTGCCAACCGTTTCGAAGAAAATGATCCATGCTACGAAAGGGATACCCTCTTTCATTGATTACTAGGTATACGTGAAAGTTATACCAAGGTGTAAATTAGTTAAATTGCCCAAAACACTAAAAAGAACAAACAGAAAATATGTTTCATAAACGAGTTACAAAAACCCCCAATTAATTCTAGATTTCTAGTAGGAATAAAAGGAATATATATACCTTGACCGTGGTCATCAATATTCTACTCCTATACATCTGTTGCAATAAAAAGAACAAAGAATTCGGGAACTCAATTAATCAATTGGGTTCTCAATGCTTAAAATATCAAAATAAGGAGAAGAAACCAAATATTGACATTCAAATAATATTGTCTTGGTTATATTTCAAATAATATCCTATCCAATATTGTCTTGGTTATATTTTCTTTCCAAGATCTGCAAGAAATATCTTACCTGTAAGTGGCTCTTGACATGAGCAATACTAAGGCCCTTGACATTCATAAGCTGCAAAACAAGCTTAGGTGTTGCTCCTACCAAAAAAAAAAAGAGAGAGAGAGAGAGGTAAGTCACGGAACCTTGAGTCAGATTTTCTATAGTAAATAATCAAGTCAAGTAATTTTGAATGATTAATCACTTACTTTCCTGGCCACCTAATTTCTCAACAGCTTGAACAAAGCAACGATGAAGATCCGGAGTCCACCTTAACCGTGGCATCTTAGATCGTACATACTGTCTAACCCCAGTAGCACTTGAGCTCAACTTTTTCCCAGTACTCTCCTCAGCCATGCTGTTGCTTGAGCTGCTTCCACTCGTTTTAGGCTCATCTGAACCCCCTCCATCTTTCATCCCATGATCTGAGCTATTCACCTCAGGTAGTCCATCAGAAAAGTTTCCCTTTTCTTCCATGGATCCTTCCAACCTTTAAACTTTATTACGACGACCAACACTTCATGACCAAATACTAATCAAGGTGTGAAGCACTAGGTAGCTAGTAAATCTCCCCACCTCAATTTGTATCTTGTCTCAACATACTTAGGCAGCAGTTAAGCTTACAAGACTGTGGATGATGTGTAGTGTCGGACAAAGTTCTCTTTCAACCGATCACTGGAGCTCATGTATTTCTTTAACTTATATATTGCAATGAAGGGAGAAAACAAGCCTAACTCTGTCAAAGTCCAACTTAGAAGTAGACCTGTCTAGAAGGCAGCCCCCTGTTGTGTGCTGATATATGCACATCTATTCATGCATGCATCTTCACATACATGCGTGTAAGTAAGCATACATATATATAAATAAATATATATATATATATAATATATATATATATATGCGCGTGTGTGTGGGGCCTATAAAAATGAAATTAAGACAATAAACATAAAAAGATGCTTTTTGGTGTAGAAAGTGAAATTTTGGACTGGTTTAACCTACATACGGTGGTAAAAAGGTTTGGTGGAGACTGCAATCAAGAATTTTGGAACATCAGCACTCTTGGATGCAGGTCAGGGATCAAATCTTTTGACTTGCTTCTTCTCCAGGATTTCTTAAAAGTTTTATCCACAGGTACAGAGGTATTCATTTGATCAAGTGGTGATTGAGTTCACCACGAATTTTTAATTGAACCGTTAGATTCATTCCCTCCCCCTAATATAAAGTAGGAGTAGGTATATAATATAAACAATGTGTGTCAATAAAAAAGATACATCAACACTTTAGTAGCTAGGGTTTACTCCTCTCTAAATTGGGTTGTTGGAAGCAAAGTTAATATATTTAGAATGAAAAATTATTCACCGTAACCGGGTATTATTATTAGAAAAATTTGCCAAATTGGTTCCTTACATTTTCAAAAAAAAACTTTTTAGTTCCTAACATTTAAAATCAGCTAGAATAGTCCCTCGCATACAAATTATGTACCAACTTTCTCCTAATACTTGTCTTTGCTCATTTTTCCGACCAAAAATCGTACGCCTCTCTTACGTGAACATAATTTTAAGGGCAAAACTAGAAACACAGTATCTAATTAATTTCAAGGGCAAACTCGGAGTGGACCACAGCATCCATTAAAAAATAATGAACATTCTTCAATTAATTAAAGTAAAAACACAGTCTTAAGCAAGATTTGGCCACAATAATTACTTTATTTAACACATTGGTAAAAAAAATTCACTATAATGCATTGTGAAGTTCCATTTTCCAGATTCGTTTTGCATCTTTTTGAAGGTTTTCTTCACAATTTTTCAGCCACAGTTTCGATCATTCATCAATCAGATGCCTACACTTTACTCATGGTCATCATCGTCAACAAAATTCCTAAGGTTATGCTTGTTAGTTTGGGGATGCAAGCATTTAGGGTTTTTGTGACTATAAAATGAAGGGAACAGTGAAAAAATGGGGTGGTGGTCCTGTGCACTTTTGATTTAGAAGGGAAACGAAGTGTGTTTCCGATTTTGCCCTTAAAATTATACTTACGTGAGAGAGCCGTGTCATTTTCATTCAAAGAAATGAATAAAGACGAGCAGTAGGACCAAACTGGCACATAATTTGTATGCGATGGACTATTCTAGCTGATTTTAAATGTTAGGGGCTAAAAATTTTTTTTGAAAATGTTAGGGACCAATTTGGCAAATTATTATTATTATTATTATTATTTAATGAAGTAATGAATAGTGGAATTGCAAAGCGGTGGGAAAAGTACGTATGTGCAGCTGATACTTCTTGTCGGTGTTCACGGATTTTATCTTTGCCTTGTTTTGTTTCCCATCACAATAATAAAGACAACGGTGAAACTTCATGTAGATGAATGAAGCATACGTACGTTTAAATTAATTATCATTTGTGGAAAAATCAAGAATCCTTTGCTTTTGTCTTTGGATGATAAGATTTTCGTGATATATGAAGATGGAGGAGTGGTGAATAATTTCATGCATTTGGTAATTCGTCAGCTATATATATATATATATATATATATATATATATATATATGGAGATTTAACTTTTGCATGGGAGACCATCTTTGATCAATCATCCAGCAATCAAAGTCTTGAATTGAATGGTTCTTCGCAAAACAGAAGAAATTGCTTCAACGGTCCAACACGTGCTTTGGGCGACTATATATTTTCATGCGTTGCAACGTAAAAAATTTTCCTTCCCTTTCTTTATTGCGTTTAGGGAAGTTCTTTGACGACTAAGCAAGACATATTGGTAACTAAAGTTGTGGTTTTCTCATTGAAAGGAAAACTAAGCGAATATTTTCAATTGTTAGTGTTGGCATAATTAAGCCAAACGTTCTAATAATTAATGTTTCCTATTTCTAATTTAGAAGTTCAAGTATAGTCAAATTTTAGTAGTTTATGTAGAGTAATTATTTGATAGTTCCTTGTCTTAGTAGTTCTTATTTGCTAAATCATACTGACTATATATTGGGTGTTTTAGTATTGTACTTGATTGAGAAAAATGATAGAAAAATTAGATAGAGTTATAGTTGTTATAAATGCAATCATGTCTAAGATACATGTCGGTGTTTGAATATGAAAATCGAATGTGCTTATTATTTAATGTGATTGATAATAAACTTCTCATTTCTCACATTTTTTTTACACGTGTCAAATATCCTTCGCTACAACTTTTATATGCTAACAATTAGCCCCATTGTTCATCATTTTTTGGAAATTTTCCTCCAAGAGGGGAACAGAAAGAGCCGATTGTAATAAAAATGAAACAGCCTTAATTTGACCGCGGTCGTCCAAATTCCGTAGGCTTCATAGACTGACTCTTTGTAATGTTCAAGTCTATGTCAAACTAGCTGTAGCTTCTTTGACAACTCGGGCTTTCTGATAAAGCTGGTCACCCAAATTCCTACCCCAGTCAAGTACATGAGGACAATGATCAAACATGTTTTTCCAAAGCCTAGCAATGGATTTTCAATTTTTTGCTTTGTAAAATGGAGATATTCAAAGTCAGTAGCCGCATATCAAACAGTCTACTGTAAGTATAAGCAGCCCTACTTGATGCAGATGACGCTCAACAGCTGTCTGCAAATCTGCAAAAAAACAAAAAGCATAGACTTCAATACAAAAACAAGCGTTTGTTTATTCGATAGAATGCCCAGAATGTCTGTCTCTTGGACCGCGCTGCAGTCGCCAAAAAAGAAAATTTAGATCACCAATAAGCCATTGAGATTCGATCCTAAGTAGGATTACAAGTAATCAATTGCATTTTGCGCTGTATTTTTTGGAATTTGGAGCAACGTACTCCTAAACAAAAGTAGCTAGCTGCACCGCGAGTGGAGTTAGGGTTTGTGTCTTCCAATTTATCTAAGTTCTTTAATTAAAATGGAGTTTGTTCTGCATGCATATTTATTTGATTTTTCCTAACACTAAAATTTGTCCCATTTATGCAATGGAGTCCACTGACCTTAGATTTATCGTGTTTCCACACCAAAACAGTTCTTGATATGCGAAGGTTTATCAATAGTCAATACGACAACTTTGCCCTTAAGAGGAAAGCTCAAGAAAATAGTACGTGCGTAGTAAAACAAATACGACAGTAATGATGATGCTGGATTCTTCATCTACCCAAGTTTTCTACCCCTCGCATTGTACATAGACTTTTTCATCCTTAAAACAGACACCAATCATTACTATTAAGCCTACAGTAGTATTTGTCAATTTCAACAAAGTCTGGACACAATGGCGGAAGCAATTGCAGAAAAGTCCCAGACTTGCAGGATACACAAGCAGAGTAGTGACTCTGATTGGTATATTTTTAGGCATGGAAATACACAAGTTTTCTTTTCTTTTCTTTTCTTTTTTTTTTGTGGGTGCTGGAACAGGACAAAAGTTTCAATGAGATGGATGAAATTACGAATCTTTGTTGGTAATCTTTTTTGTTTTTTGGTAATCTTGTAATCAGTAAATGCAAAGCCAAGTTTATTGTCCAAATAATTAGAGGAATAAAAACCAAGGTTGGACGTCTAGCAAGTTGCAATTTGAAGAGGTTGAAAGTTCCAGCGTTGACAGCAAAGACTTGAAAGAGAAGGAAGGGCAGATCGAGAAAGAGTCCCGCTTAGAATTTGATGAACCGCGCGGCAGCACAAGAAAGAAAGAAAGAAAAAATAATTGCAGAAAGGCCACACAAGAAAGAAAGAAATAGTTGCAGAGAGGCCAAGAGAGGTTTTTGGAGTAAATTGGCCTGGCTGCAGAGTAGGGCTGCAAACGAATCGAGCGGCTCGCGAGCGGCTCGAGTCAAACTCGAGATTAATCGAGCTCGAGTCGAGCTCGAGCTCGAACTCGAGCTCAGAATATTAAGCTCGTTAGCTCGCGAGCCGGCTCGCGAGCTTGAGTATATATATTTATATATATTTTTTATTTTTATTTAATAATAAAATTACGTATATTATATATAAATATATTTTAATTTTTATTTTCATAGTGAAATTACCTATATATCCTTAATATTTTATTATTTATTCAGGAAAAATATTATTTTTTTATTTTTTTTAAAAATAAAATAATTTTTTTTATTTTTTTCGAGCTCGAGCTCGAAAATTGCCAGCTCGTCGAGCTCGAGCTCGAGCTCGAGCTTGGTAAAATTTAATCGAGGCTCGGCTCGATTAGCTCAAAACTCGACTCGACTCGGCTCGTTTGCAGCCCTACTGCAGAGTGTAATTTTGTCCGACGATGTCGTCTACCTATAACCAATGTTTTAAAACTCTTACCGGTATATAAATAGGTGTGGAACCACTGAGCCAAATTGGACGATAAGTCGGGGGGGGGGGTTTGAATCCCACCTGTCATGAAAAAATTCAATGGTGATGTTAGAGTACTTCTTTAGTCTAGTCAAATTTGTATACTTGCTATTTTCTTACATAGTCTTTTTAGACTTCCCTTCCAATAGAATAAAATAGATTAAATTATAAAATGACATTGTTGTAGCAAAAAAAAAATGTAGTGTTTAGATCATAGTTCAATCGATCTGACCGGTTCAACTCCGCATGTTTCCTACCTAAAATTAGATGTGTCAAAATTGGTGATTCTGATGAGTTTGAACGGATCACAATTGAGTAATGGATATTAGTGGGTTAACACATTTATGCCTATTTAATGAATGAG